CTCGGTTCACTTCTCTGTCGATCATCTCTGCGGGTATGCATAACATTTCCCTTTAATTCCTTGTGGAGGGGATCTGCTGAGTTTAAATTATGCTCAGCAATCCATGGTCTGCGTGATATGCTGGTGCACTTGCTTATACCAACAGTGGCATTGCAAAGACAAAAAGTAACCAGGAGTTTATCGTCATAGCAAGGCTTGCAGCTTGCAAAAAGGACGGGCATTTTCCTTGTCTGACTCAGACTTTCCAGACTGAAATCTTTTGGTTGTACATTAAAAGCATCAAATGTTGCCAGAAATAGCTTTTAAATTCTGTGCCTTAGGAGAGAGAAAAAATTTTATTTTCAAAAAAGCACCAGGTTTTGTGTCAGCTGCCTGACTGTCTTCGTGTTGAAATGACAGGGGGGGAAATTCCTTTAATTCAACTGGAAGCCATGCTACCCTCATAATAATCATGATTACGGTCAAACTTGCAAATGAGTATCTCCCCAGTGCAAAGAGATCATTTGTTTCTGCTTTTTTATCTCCATAAACTAGAGCTTCTTCTTGCCTGCCATCGTATTCCAACCAGCACAGCTCCCGGCTGAGGAAAAGCGCTTGCTGGCTTGCCAAGACAACATTCTTTTACATGACTAGCTCTTTCCCCTGTAGTTATTAATGTGTCACATCTCATAGGCTCAGATTGTCTAATATTATGGGAAAATCTACTAGAAGGAGAGAAAAATAAAGGAAACTTCCAGGGAAATTGATTAAAGGGAAATAAGATATTTGACCCAAAATTAATGGAACAAAATATGGTCAATAATAGAAACTATTTAAATACCTCAGATGGACACACAGTTCTTTAGTAATAAGTTTTGTTTGTTTTGTTTTTTACCACATCGGAATATCTATTATAAGAACAAGATTTTAGACTCCTTCTCTCATGCCAAGTGCAATTGTTTGTATTTTACGGGATTCATGAACACAGCTTGGTATCAGCAAACATGGATCATATGAAACCAGAACTGTGAGACTCTTTGGGATGGTTTAACCAAGATCTATCAGAATAAAAACTGTGACACAGAGCAAATGGTACCCCGAACACTTACACCTTGCAGACACTTGTATAAAGCATTTTTTGGTTGCCGACAACATGGAGTAAAACAAGTTGCCTCACAGGTGCTACTCTGAACTCCCTTCAATACTGCTCCTTCTCTGCTCCATGGATGCTTCAGCCAAGGAGTAGAAACATGACTCCAGAGATGGATCACTCACCAAGAAAAGAGTTTCAGCTCACAGTGAAAGGTAAATCAAAGCAAACGAATAGAACTAATGCTACAGAAACTGCCTAAACAGTTTGAAAATGGTGATTGGGTCTGCAAATACCAAAGCCCTCGAGTGGCTTGTTGTTATGGCTGAGTTCGAAGAGACAAGTTAACTCAGTAACCCCTCACGCCAGCGATTTCACCACCTTCTGCAACAACAGCTCTACGAGAGCCCTGCCTGGCCCAGCAAGAGCCGCACATGAGCCGGCTTATGCCTATGCATAAAACACAGACCTGCACAAGCAGGGATGGACATCTGGGCACGCAGAAGTGCAGCATGACTAACGGCACCGGGGTGTGCAGGCAGGGAGCCGGGCGAAGCAGCACGCTGCGGCGTGGTCCTGTTGGCTGTGGATCCCAGGGACGCCTCACACCGCCGCACCTGCGGGGCTTGCTGCCATTTCACAGACTCAGCATGGAGCAACACTCGGGAGAAGGGATTTTTCTCGCCTTCCCAGCACCACATCTACAAGACAGTGACTTTTTGTCCCTAAGTAAGTGATGGCCTGTTGCTACAATTACCAGAGGACTTTCAAACGCCTTTGCCTATTCAGGCTTCAGAACGAATCAACAAGCAATGAGAAAAATGCTGCAAGCTGCTGAATGTGTAGGCTTGTCTGGATATGAGGTCCATTTTGAGGCATAACTGATCATTTAACACCATATCACCTCCTTGGTCCTCCCACACAGCTGCCTGGGGAGGAACTTGCTCCGGATGATGCTTTGAACCTGTGAAATCCCCTCCTAAAACCTGTCAAGTGCTGAATGTGACACAGATGAGGTGGAATCAAACTGCCCCATGAAAAGCAGATACTTCACAGTTCTTGCTTCATTGCAGCTAATGATCTGCTGACACCGGTGGGAGTTTCTAGCTGGGATCGGCTTCTGCTGAGGAGAGCACTCAGATATTCTGTTGGTAGCAACAGTGCTCTCATGGGAACCCCACTGGTAGGGAAATGGCCAGTTATCTTAAAGCTGCTACTTACTAAGGCTTTCCCAGCGGGATATTATTAACAGCTACCAGACAGGAGAGATCTTACAGGAGAGTCCCTGAGGATACAGGTTCCCAGCTGGCCATGTCAAAAAAATTAAAAACAAACAAAGGAAAAAAAAGATAATCCCAGCAGCACATGATAGTGGGAGATAAGGAGAAAATGTCACAGAGCCCCAGTGTGCTCCGTCTCGGCAGGGCACCTGAGCTCACCTGAGACTGGGAGCTCTGCAACATGTGCAGATTGTCTGGGAGAAACTGAGATTATCATCTCTGGTGTGATTTAGTCTGCATTACTAATGCTGGCTCAGCCAACTAATGTTTTTAACCATCTTCCCAGAACTGGGCTGAGATCAGTAAGTGCTACTGAAATGCAAAAACGTTGCTAAATATGCAACATACGTTCTAAATGGAAGAGGCTTCTTACTCCAGATCACTTTATACTCTGCTTCCATGAGTTCAGAAAAGCACAGTCTTAACTTTTCTCTCCAAATTGCCAGTATATCCCATATTCAAAAAAAAAAAAAAAACCCCAAAACTTTCTCTTTCTCTTTTTTTTCTTGGGAACAAACACATTTTTTTTTCTTGTAGGAGCTCTGCTGTCTGCTATGCAGCCAATATTTTCATATTTTAATTATAAAAAACATAAAAATAAGCTACTTATACTGGTATCTCCCCTGTTGCTTTTTTTTATGTCCCTAAGAGTCATCAAAGCAAACATATCTCAGAATAAATGCCTAGACATCTTAAACAAGCCTTGCAAATAGCAGTCATTGCACAGGCAAATGAAGTATGCGCATACAATTCGGGAAAATGCAGTCTTATTCTGTAAACCATGACTGGACTTCTGCTTGAACACTCTTTGGTGATGGGCACAAATACAATGTGCAATTGTGGAAGAGTCTTAGACATGCCAGGCTAACTCTTTCTGAAAGAGATACTTGCTTTTCCTGTAGGAGCATTTGCATAAGTGGGGTGTGATCTGCAGGGCTCGCTGCACGGCCCAGGGACCATCCACCCTCTGCTCTGGGCTCATGCCATGTTTCTGCACAGTGGATGGATGAGTTGCACTGTGCGTTTCCCCACCCCAGTAGCTCCCCATTGCTGGCCAAAATGGGCTGTTTCCACTCGGAAAAGAAATTGAAGGAGAAGCCAGGTGATTCTCTGCCGCAACTCCCTCCCTACTCACAGAAGCTGGAGTTTGCTGAACGTTTCCTTTAGCAAATGGGCCTTTGTTTCAGCAGAGACATGTCTGGGGTGGAGGCCACTATTCTTTCAGCCATCTGGTCCCATAAAGGATTGTAACTGTTTCCTGTGGAGAAAGGTGGTGGCTCCTCCCGCTAGTCTCCCCTCCTCATCACTGTGCCCAGAGACTTCACTCAGCCGCCAAAATGCTCTGATAGTTGGTATCTTCTCATAAACACTGCCAAGACATCACACGTATCCATCATCCTCACCTTCGCTTTGCCTTGTCTATTCATTTCTACTGTTTTTTCCAAAGCTGCCATCAATAATTCACTAGTCACAATTTCTCTTGATTTCCCATCCAAAATTGGCTCCTCTCTTCTTCTAAGCAGTTGTTATTTAAGTAAAGTCTGCATCTCAATAAATAAAACTCACACATGAGAAACTCTTCAATGACTTTCTTCACATGATTTATGGCAAGACAGGTTCTGCTAAAGGGGTGAGTCATTCACCAAAGGCAGAGGAAAACTGTTCATTTGGTATTTGTGAAATCCCCAAACCGCTGAAAAGGCACCATTTACCAACAAAAAGCATCACAGGATGCACACAAAGCAGCAAAGTGGGTGGAGCCCTTCCAGAAATGACTGCGACACGGGGGGCACCTCGGAGGCCTCTCTTTCTCAGGATCCAGTACGTTAAAATGAGTGGGAGGTGCAGGTTTCTCAGCTTACAGCTTATAGGATTTGCCCCATAGAAATCAAAACTGCAAGTTTTCTTCTTCCCTCAGGGGAATACCAGAACAACCCGGGGTTTCCCTCCTTCATCTGCAGCCTCCTGAGCTGCACAGCCCTTAGCACTGACATCTAGAAAAAACAATAACCAGGAAGCGCCTGAGCCTCTAAATCAAACCTGTTTCTTCATCTGAGTTGTGCTCCTGCCACAGCTCAGCTCAGAGGACTGCGGTGACTCCTTTGGCAGACAGGACTGGCCACAGTGCTAGGCTCCAGTCCAGGTTTGAATTCAAAATCTCCCACCACCTGCCAGCTTGTGGATAAGCAGTTCTGGTTATGCCTCCACTCAAAATAAAAACACTCCCAGGAAGGCAGGCGGCTTGCATGCTCATGCACAAACAGGAAGAATGTATGTATATACGCACACCCACGTGGGCTCCCTGCTCCCAGACAAGACCTGTTAGCCAGAAAGACCCAGCAGCACCACACTAATAAATAAAATTTGCAAAAGCCCCAAAGTCCCTCACTGTCCTCCCAAGCTCTAAGCACCGTGAAGAGCCACCTGGTGCCAAAGCTTATTTCAGGAAAGGGAGGGTATATAGGCAAGAGCCGCAGGTCACTCAAACGGTGGCGCAGACCCAGCCAGCGCAGGAGGAGCAGAGCAGAGCACCTTGCGTTTGCCTGTCTGAGCATGTGAGGTTTTTCCCCTCTGTGCTAGCTTGGAGCAGAGGGACAAGATGATCATTGCTGCAAGAGATGGAGAAGGAGCAAATCTCAGGGGATACTTACAGCATTCGATGGGGTTCGACGCTGCTTGCAGAGAAACGATCCTGCCGTTGGACTCGGGGATGTGCACGCGGAATACGAGCCGGACGCGGGTGTTCTTCCTGCCAATGTCCGTCTCTCCCTTGCGCAGCTCGATGTCTGCGTTCCTCAGCTTCAAAATCCCCGCGCAGTCAATGCTGCCAAACACACACACCATTTAGCTTAACATTTCTGCTCTCAATCAGCTTGGAAATAGGCAACAGTTGCGAGGATTAAGCTGTTTTGCTTTGATCTCCGGGTTAAGAGCAGCTCCAAATACTTGTTCTGCTGAGGATCTAGATATTGTCATTTCAGCAGTTACAGGGGAAGAAATCCCAGACACACAGCGTGTAAGGGACGCTGCTGGACCCCTCTCTGAGGGGTCTGGGCCCGGTGGCTCAGCGTGTCCCAGGCACGTCCCAGCCGAGGGCTAAGGTTGGCCTTTATTCTGGGGACAGCTGAAGCCACTCTCCAAACATTCTAACCCCAAGTTTTATTTCCCTCTTGTGTTAAGCACGAGAGTGCACACGGCAGAGCCCGCCCCGGCCCCCCAGGGCAGGGAGAGTGAACCAGGAGTGCACACGGGGGCAGGCAATAAGCTGAGCCTGCGCCGGAGCCTTCCGCGAGCTAGAGAGCATTAAAGCCTCCCACCGCCAGCTCTGCAACAGCTCAGTGCCAGAGACTGCGCAGCAGCTATTGCCTGCACGTGGGCAAATTAGTTCAGCTCCGCGGGGAATCACAGCAGCTGAACCAGCCAATTGTGTGCACCACCCCGGCCTGTTTTCCCCACAGGTTGTAACACAAGCATTGATTTCTACTCCAAAGCAGGAAACAAACTGCTCTCCCCTCCTTTCAGACAAGTTAGGTCCTACTGCTAGAACTGGGCTTTCCAGCCCTGGTCCAGGTGACCAGGTCATCCTCTGAAGCTCTGGGATGTTGCTCCCAGCCAAGGCCATAGCAGTGCAGAAAATGGTTCTCTGCTGCCATTCACCGTGTCCCTATGCAAAAGGAGGATGCAGGGAGCAGGACGGGCCTGAACAGCAATGAAAGGATTAGGCTTGCTTAAACCAGCACTGCGGCTTAATATTGGTGTGTGTAAGTGCAGATTAACTTCTTAAGAACCCAGTGCAATCTAGCAAACACGTCTGTCAACATTAGAGCATGTGCCAATTAATAGTTACAGAATCTGAGATCTTCAGCTTAGCAACAGTCCTTGGAGGGAGCACTGTTATTACATGGGCACTGTCAACCCATTTTGACATCAGTTTTAAAGACACAGTGCTTTTTTTCTTACAATATGAATTAAAATCACATTCTGGGAGGCATAAACCCCAAGCTGTTTCCTACACCCCCACTGTTCCTTGCCATTGCATGTGTGCAGGGGTTTATTACTCCAGGGTTACTCGTTAGGAGCAGACAATCATGTTCCATTCAGCACTTGGCTGCTTATGTTTAAGATGTGGACATTTATTTATTTCCTTGGGTGCAGAGGGAAGGAGAGGCTTGAAGGAAATGGAGCAATGAGGTACATTTTCTGAAAAAAGATATATAAAGAATGTGGATTTTGCGATGAAGTAGGGGGGCTTAAAAACATAGCTGCTCTGCCAATTTTGTCAGTATCCTCTGAAGGATGGAGATATAGCTCTTCCCTCTGCAGAGCAATCACTCTCATGCTGCCTGGCACACATTCAAGCCTGAAGTTCCAGACTGGTGCCCACTTCATCCCTCTGCCTCCATAAAACTGGAAGGAGTAATACAGAAAAGATGTGCCTGTACTTGCTTTTCTGTTAACGTATTACAATAAGAGAGCGCGATTTCATGGCCAAAGCACTTGGCTGAGTTCAGCAGAGATGTTTTCTATTCCATTGAATGTCGTGAAATGAACCGTACACCTTTCCTCTGCTGTCTACTGCTCCTTGAGTCTCATTGCATCACTTCAGCATAAGGACTTCAGATTCAAGTCTCATGTTCCTTAGTGCCCTACAAAACCATTCTGACTTTTAAGATGACAAATATTACAATATAGTCACCGCAGCAATTGGAGTAAAGAGCAAAAAAACCTGCATGGTGAACCAACGAATGGTAACTCTTCAAGCATCTTTAACCCAGGTGCTTGTAACTGCTCATGCTTTTGTAAAAAGGGTCTTACACTCATATATCATCCTGGTGCACTAGAAAGGGGAGTCCCTCCAGACCAGACATCGTTATTCATTTAAGTGACTCCTTTCCATAACAGAAAGAACTTCACATGCCAATTTAATCCTCCCCAACTTTGCTAATAAAGAGAAATATGCTTACGTTGCTTTCATGTTGTTTTTGGGTTCCAGTGGGATCTCTAAAACTTTGGTGTTGCCAATGATTTTTTCATAGCTGGTGGTGGTGACAGTTTTTCCCGTAATGCGATGGACTTGATAGAAAGCGTGAGGTTTAAGTATCCGTTCGTCTGCTGTGCCAATGAAGATCTGAAGACCCAAGGGTTTGTTCTCCATGTAACCGTGAAGCTGGCAAGACATTAAAAATCTATTATCACATACTGGGCTTCCAATGCCTTCATGTCAGGAAGCGAAATAGATCTACACATATATACAGATATGGAGATACACAGAGACGTAAAGATATGTGTAGAACAGACTCTTTCCTATTCTCAGAGACAGACATCCTCTTAAGTGTATTTGTTGGAATCCATGATACCTAGGGAAGGCAGCTAATGGAAAACATGCAATAAATAGTTATAACACTAAGTGTATCAGGAAGAAAAAAAGAATATATCAAGAAGAAAAAATTCCAAACAAGTTCTCCATTATCAGAAATTTGTTGGTTGTCTCCAAAACAGACTGATGAATCCCCTCAAAAGGTACATTTTTGAGTATGCTGTTTAATTTGCAGTGATTGATGCCCAAATGGGGTTGAAAAGATTTTTCTCTGTGAGGTGGAAAAAGCTGCCAAGCGGAGATGACTCCCCGCACCTGCAGCCTTGGGCAGCGATTCCTGCTTCCCGTCAGCAGGCAAAACAGTAATGACAGAAGAAATATTCCTCGCTGTTCTGCAGGTATACGTGGTGCTCCCATATGCACCTTCTCCAGACCTTATCAAAGCTAATGGAAATGTCTGTTGACATAGCGGACTTTGGATTAGGCCCTATGTGATGTCCAACTTGCAAACACTAATGCTCAGTGAAATGACTTTGCCTCAGCTCAGCTTGTGCTTTCTACTTCGACTGCAGTTAAAAAATATGGGGCATTTTCCCCCTAAACATGAAGTATCTAGCAAATGTGTCTGTGGCTCCCCAGTTCAAGAAAGATGAAGAGCTACTGGAGAGAGTCCAGTGGAGGGCTACGAGGATGATGAGGGGACTGGAACATCTCCCCTACAAGGAGAGGTTGAGGGAGCTGGGGTTGTTCAGCCTGAAGAAGAGAAGGCTGCGAGGGGACCTTATAAATGCTTACAAATATCTGAAGGGTGGGTGTCAGGAGGATGGGGACAGACTCTTTTGAATGGTGCCCAGTGACAGGACAAGGGGCAATGGGCACAAACTGAGGCACAGGAAGTTCCGTCTGAACATGAGGAAGAACTTCTTCCCTCTGAGGGTGACGGAGCACTGGAACAGGCTGCCCAGGGAGGCTGTGGAGTCTCCTTCTCTGGAGATATTCAAGACCCGCCTGGACAAGGTCCTGTGCAGCTTGCTGTAGGTGACCCTGCTTCGGCAAGAGGGTTGGACTAGATGACCCACAGAGGTCCCTTCCAACCCCTACTATTCTGTGATTCTGTGATTTTGAGAACCGAAATGTTAAACTATGTATAAACATTTCAGAAATTAATAACCCCTGCCGCATCCCTTTCTCTGGCCTTGGCACACGCAGTCTTGCCCAGCTCACATCCATTTCAAATCCAGCTGGAAGTATGGTCCTTCCAGCCCCCCACTTTGCTCAAGTCATCCCAAGCTTAACATCTCTCCAGCTTTCTGCATCCCTCACACCAGACATAAGCTTCATCTGCCTTCATCTTTGATGCTCTGCTCTTCTCTTTGCCCTCTCACCTCTCATTTTCTAATCACTTATCAACATCTATTCCCAAACTTCCCAAATCCAGCCCCAAACACCAGCATCAGCTTCTTAAATATTCACAATATCGTGTTTTCTGCCCATCAGCCTCTTCCTCCAGGGAGGATGCTCCCTTTTAATATCTACATCTCCTCGCTACAAATCTCCCTGTCTGCAGAATTCTTAAACATTTTTAAAAGGAAATATGTTGTTCTTCTCCTGAAATCACTTCTGTGGACTGGTGCTGATTCACTGCTCTTAGAAACTCATCATTCCTCTTGCATTGCATTAAAATACTATCTGTACAGGTACCGATGGCATTTTTGGTGTGTGACTGTACAGTGCCTGGCACAAGGAAGTCTTAGCTGACCTTACAGACTGGGGCCTCTAGGGTTCAAGGACATAAACAGACTATTCTGTACTAAATAACACTTTCATAAACAGCATTTGCTGCCAAAGAAGCAAGAAATCCAGAATGCCTCCATAGGCCAGGAGATGGAAATTTCTCCTTTTTCATTAACACTCAAAATTACAAATCAAACCATTCTAAATTTCTCACATAACCAAAAATGAAAACCAGACATTTATCTACCACACAGCCAATGGTCTAGCTGAACGGGAACTTTATGGTCCAAGACATGCCAAATTTGTTTTCAATTATTCCGTCCACATACAAAACCTTGATGAAGCCATACAAAGCAAATAGTACTGGAAGATCAGAGAAAAGGAAGATTAAGCTAACGATATTCATGACCAAACCTTTTCTTTTTTTTTTCCTTTTCACCAGCCACCAAGAGGTATCTTTGCATAGAAGGATTAATTCCCCCCTGGAAGGGGACTACGTGCAGCATCAATGCAATCCTGGCAACCTTCCTCCAGTATGGCAAATGTAAAGCGACACTCACTCTTCTGAGCTATCATTACTCATCTAGCACGTATTTGCAAGCCATACAAAGACAGGGTCTATGCCCCAGAGACCTTACAACCGAAGGGCCCGAGTTTGCAGCCTCCACTTACATGAATGGCTCCATTGAAGTCAACAGGCCTTAAGCAGGGCTTGTGCAAGAAAGAATTACAGAATCCAGCCCAGCTGCAGCTCAGACACCTACGATAACTCACTCGCACAAGTGCTTCAGGAGATTGTGAGGAGGGAAAACAGGGTATGAGGCTTTGTGCAAACATGCCAGTTGGCTCTGGGAGTGAGGTGGAGGAGGAGTGGAGCTGGACTCCAAGCACAAGGGTTGGTATTGGAGAAGCAGCGTTGCCAAGAATGTGATAAATACAATGGCAGCCACGGGGAGATTTAGAAATGTATAGAGTGTATAGAAGATCAAAAGCAACAGAGGTCAAAATGATAGATCTACTGGGAACAGGCAAGAACGTAGGAATCACCCCCTGTTTATCCACAGAGGCCCATTGAGCCCAGGTCCTCTGGGAGCCGTACTGAAACTCATCCTAAGTACGGTACTTTCAAAATCCAAGATTTCCTTGCCTTCAGTGAAAAGCCATTGTATGACCAAAAGCCATCTTGTCTTTACAAGGGGAGAGGGATAAGAGTAGTTTTTAAGTACTGAGCATGTTTATTGTCATGCCTGACAGAGTAATTCTTTGTGGATCCAGCTAAACTGACAAGAGGATCCTTTGGAATGGAACAGTCATTACAGCAAGAGCAAAGCAGCTCTCGCTTTGCCCTCTGTCCGGGCAGAACAAAATCCCAGAGTTATAGGTGGGAGACTGGAACAGAAAAACAGATAATAAATTACTAAAGAAAATTTGCCCCCAGTGAGCACAGTCAGTAGCAGCTGTAACAGACTTGGCTATGTACAGAGTTTTTAACACTGGCCACCTTTAAAAGCAATTTTAAGTGGTGTTTCTGCTCATGTGTAGAATGAGTTCCCAAGATAAAACTATTCATGGCCTAATACGTCTGTCCGTGGGTGTGTGCCTGTATAAATGTATACATACTTACAGGAGAGAGGAATGGATTGTCTGTTCACATGGCAATGTTTGTATTGTCTGCTGGACAAGGGGGTATAAAACACATAGTAAAAGGCCTTCTGGTCCTCCACAGGACCGGATTTTATAGCAATTGTTTGATCAGTGGAAGAAAGTACCATACTTATTTGGTAATTTATGACATTGTGGCAATGCTTTGGGATGACATCACTGTGAAATCAAAATAGCATTATAAAATGCAAACACAGACAGAAAAATATATGTCAAAGTGCCAAGGATCCCCATTTAAAAGGCAGTGTCCTTATCTTGAGTCAACGGATTATGTTTTAAAGGATAATACCAGTGATCATTTACCGTAAGCATTTCCATCTACCTTCACTTGCTAAGAACACATCAGGATGACTTAGGAACAAAAAATGAAGATGGACAGCTACAGAAATGCTCCAGGAACTTTAAATTCAGAGTTCTACACTCAGCCCTGCCACTAATTTACTACATAGCTTCGGTCATGTCATACAACCTCTCTGTTCATCTATAACAGGTGAGGAGTGATGCTAACCCTACTATTAAATGAGTTAATATTTCCTCCTGCATTTTTATACAGAAAAATTCATTGTGAGCTAGAACAAAAGAACACATTAAAGGCTTTGTTTCAAAATTTAATTATGAGAGACTGTCCATCTCGATAAAAACTCACCTCTGCTACGTGAGGCAGCTAGTTTAGGATTTAACCATAAAACTGATCTTTTCTTTGGCAGCTCAAAGAATGAGCAAAAGTGACCCTGAAAGAACCCTATGGACAAGCGAAGACTTCATCATTTTTTAAATAATAACTTTGAAATACATTTTTTCTTCCCTTAGCAACAACCACGCCAGTCAAAAGTCTCAGTTTTTTAGTCCTACTCTTCTGCTCATCTGAGGGGAAGGGAGAGGGCAGCTCGCGCTGCAGCTGCCCGCGGCGAGGGCATGATGCCCTGCAACAGGAGTTCCAGCAAGGACGGGAACAGAGGACCAGCCCCACGCCAAGGTGTTCCTTCACTATTTTTCACTCCTCTTTCCGTGAAGAAAATGAAATCATCTGGATTTCAGTTTCAAGAGAGTGAGAATCGAGAAAGATTTATGAATACAGAACTCTGGGAGGAAATATTTTTGTGTATTATAAGGTGACCTATTCACAATAAAACTCCCCCAAACTGAAAACAGATCGAGCTGGAAAAAACCCAACTCCTTTGAGTCACATTTGCCACACAGGGAAA